AAAAAAAACAAAACAAAACAAAACAAAAAAATTAATGTTTTATATAAAGATCCCTGTAGTTACTGAAAAGAACAATACCTTTTTTGTAAACCCAGTTTAAGTGTGTTAACATACCTACAAGGCTAAAATGGTGTGTGTTAGTTTGCACAGGAGAAAGATGAGGATGTCTGTTCCCATAAAAATGTAGTCTTGGTAACCCAAATGCTAGTACCACACTGTTCTATAGGGTCTTTCTGAGTCAGAATTGACTTGGTGGCAGAGGGTGTTTGGGGGATTTTTTGGTTTTGTTTTTATTTTTTTATTTTTATTTTTTTGGTTTTGTTTTTAATGCACCTGTCAGAGCTGATATCATTGCCCCATTACAATGACACTTTGAATCCTTTCATGTAAACTCACTACAAGCATTCTGTTAGAGTTTTCATTGATGCAGATGTTCATATAGTAGCTGATTTTGTCTGTCTGGTGTTTTAGCTATAGCACTGTGGTACTTAGTATTTGGGAATCTATGTCAATAAGAATGAAGAGATTGTGATAATGAAGCAATAATTTAAGGAAAAGAAGGAGAAAAATTTAAAAAGACTTCTGCTCAGTTCCTAATAAATGTAAATAATGCTGTAATTCAATGTAGAAGGACTTTAAAACAATTTCACTGGTAGTATTTGTATAAGCTAAGAAATGTTACAATTAACTATTCACAAAATATTTATCACATATTATTCTATGATTAACAACCTACGTTATACTTGTTGCTGAAAATGAGGAGGGCTTGAAGCGCTTGCTGATGATCAAGGACTCGTGCTTTCAGTACGGATAGTGTAAAGAAACCAGAATCCTCCCAGCTGAACCAATACATAGCATTATGATAAACAGAAAAAACTGAAGTTGTCGGGGATTTCATGGCCCTTAGATACACAAAGGAAGCAGCAATCACAAAATCAAAGGACCAAAAAAGAAAAAGAAATCAAAGGACATATTAGGCAAATCTGTTCTAGACCTTTTTAAGCAACAATGTCACTTTGAAGACTAAGGTGTGCCTGACCCAGGTAATGGTATGCCTCATATGCATGTGAAAGTTAAACAACCATACACTGGTTTTTAGTTTAACATTTTAAATTCAGTTTCCATTAGATTAAAAATTAAGTACTTGTTCTCATGAACCCTGTGTTGTAGTGGATTAAACATTGGGCTAACCACAAGGTCAGCAGTTTGAAACCACCAGCTGCTCCAGGGGAGAAAAATGAGGCTTTCTTCTCTCATAGTTAGTCTCAGAAACCCACAGTCAATTCTATTGTGTAACCAACTTGATAACAGTTATTTTGAGAGATTTTGTTTATTTATACCTACTGTGCACTAATGCAGTAAGATAACTACATAAAAATAAAACGAAGTTCATCCCTGTTTATTAGGGTTGTGACAATTTTAAAGAACTCAGGAGCCACTGAATTAGCCTACAAGGAATTTCTTCTGAACAAATGTTTTTTATTATATATGGGGGATTCTCCCCCCAGGTTACACACACACACACACAGGCGCGCACGCATTCATCTTACAAATATATTACATGCATCAGCTTACAGGGCAGTAACAGACCTGTACAGTTCCTGAACAAGATTATTTTACAACTGCAAAAATATGTAATTAAAGCATTGCTAAAGTATTAGGTATTTAAAATCCATTCGAATCAGATTTCCTTTAGATATGCAGTATTTGTATAACTTAAGATTTGAAAACCAAATTTAATCAATAAAACCAAGCCAACAAGATGGGGAGGGGATTCTTTTATAAGGCTTGTGAGGTTATTCGGTTTCACTTAAAACAGTTGTAGGAGCTTCCAGATACGGAAGATGTATTGGGCTGCTCTTGGGTCACCTAACATTTTAAATAGCTGAGCAAAGAGGATTTTCTTACACAAAGAAATAAATTAATTTTTAGAGTTCACTGTGTCCCATCAACACTTTAATGTACTTGACTGAAGTAGCTGGACTTCATCATATACACTGAGCTCAACTCCGTAGAAAAAAGGACTTTGGATTCCCTTCCCAAATCTTGTTCCCACGTCACCCACAATGTCAGCGGGACTTCTGGCATGTCCAAACCTCTCCATGATCTACCGCGCTGGATGCCTTGAGCTTGCAAAGACTCGGCTAGTCAAGTGGCTTAGCCTCACGCCGCTACAACGCTGAAACATTCCACGTGTCTCCCTACAAGGAGGGGAAACCGGGTGAAGCTGGAATGCAAGAGTAGAAGGCGGGGCTTAGGGGGCGCCCTAGCAGAACGGAAGTGGTTACCTAACTTCCGCCCGCCGTTGTTACCAAGGAAACGAGCGGACCCCAGGCAGGGGGCGAGCGGTGAAAGGAACAGTTCGCGCCTTCTCAACCGGTACCACACCTGCTCCTTCTTGGTGACTGGTTAAATCCTGCCCAATCTCACTGGGCCTTGCAAACCCATTCTTCTGAGATTAGTGCCGCAAGGAGTCCGACTTCTTCCCCTGAAGCCCCTCCCTCTCGCCCCGCCCCGGCCCCGCCTCCAGCCTCGTTCACGGTCTCGCCCCGGCCCCGCCTCCAGCCTCCAGCCTCGTTCACAGTCTCGCCGGCGTGAATCTCTTTGCCCCGGGCATCCTCCTCCTGGTGAGAATGTGACCTCTTCTTGGGGGTGCTCACTGCCTATCCTCCGTTCAGAACGGCTCGTGTTTTTACCATGTTTTTGTTTGGTTCTCCATCCTTCACTTCATTATTTAGAGGTGAAAAAGGGGGAAACATTTTTTTAAAGGAGTTAGTAGTTACTTTTCTTTCTCGAGTTATAAAGTGGCACGGGTAAATAGGAGAGAAATTAAGACTGAAAGATATCCAGAGGATCTTTTTTAATAGGAGGACAAGATAGGTTTCATTCCTTGCAAGTCAATTTTAAAACAAATTACAGTTTCAAAGTTGAGTCTAACTGAGAATCTAAAGACAGCTTGTAGATCGGTGATGTATCATGTTGATTTGGTAAGGTACCTCTCATAGTAGTCAGTAAGCTTGCCAAAGCTTTTACGAGTGTGTCTACATCGGCAAGTCGGCCCTGGGTGTAGTAAAGTCCTGCAGTGTTTTGATACGTACTTTTAAATATATTACAATTTGTAATATGTTGATTAATGTACTTGAAGCTTATAATGAACCCTGTGAAATGGATATCGTTTCTTTTCTAGGCAGCAATCTGCCCCTATATCCATTTATGTTGTGCTCCATGACTACCAGACGCTCAACCCCCAATGTCTCCTCTTGCACCGGCAATTTCCCCCCAACTGCATCATTGTGGGGAGGAGGGCCCCCCACAAATCATCATAGGTCCGGTAGGCGTAATTGCACAGCGATAATAAGTAAAGCTTATAGTAAAGTAATAGAGAGCATGAGAATTAGAGGAGAGATTGGAATAAGTGGAGTCAGACACAATTCATGGTAGCATTGTCACCTCAGCCCCACTCAATGGTCCACGTGGGGGGAACCCGGCCGGGAGAGCAGGGGAGCCCTCAGGACTGAGAACCGGAGAAAGCTCCCCGGCCCCCAGGAGCCGGAGAGAGCTTTTTATTTATTGCTAACCAAGCGTTATCTCTTTAGGGGGACATCGTTACAGGTAACCACACATCACAGGAAGGGGCAGTACAACAGGCATATATATTGTAGGAAGGGAATGTATGATAGACATAAGCATAACAGGAAGAGGAAGAGCTAGGGGTGTGCCCATAGGAATGGGAAGATCTAGGGGTATGTATACATGTGACAAGATGGGTGGACCCTAGATTCATGATGGCAGCTAACCTTGGTCATCCTTGAGCGGGTTTGACCTCTCCGGTGTCTCCTACAAGGAAACAGACTATTATCCTTTTCAGAAGGGAGTGGGCTCTACTTGTTGTGGGATACACAGTGGTGTCTGCTTGCTCTAGATGGCTGATAGCTCTTTGGGAGAATGACCCCTAATCTACTCCTGATGACCTCCAAGTGTATAGTCATTCTCAAGCAGCTAAGTCTGGCATATATTTGGGGGAGACAGCTTGAGAGAAATCCTTCTGTTTCCCACACATCATGCCAGCACCATTTTAACATACCTTAATAGCTTTCCTATTTTATGTTTGAAAAATCCCCCAAATTCATTCCTTCTCTCCAGCTATCACCTCATTTCACTTTTACAATATTCCAAAGAGTTGATGCAGTCACTGTCTCAATTTTTCCATTCCTCAGCCAACCTCCTTGATTTTTTTCCATACCCTACTGCAACATACTTAGCAAGGTGACTAGCAACTTCATCTGGATTAATCGAGAGTTTTCTATTCTGAATTCACTTGTCTCGTAAGCAATTTGAAGCAATTTCCTATGGTTCCCTTTCTTGGAAAACATAGATCTTAGTAGTTCCCCAAGAATTTGATTTGTTAATAATACAGTTTTGAGCCCTTGAAGATCACTTTCTTAAGTATAAAGAGCCGTGGTAATTTAAGTAGTGGGTGGTGCTGGGCTGATAAATCCAGTCAGGAGTTCATTGGAAATCACCAGCAGCTCCAAGGGAGGAAGATGAAGCTTTCCGCTCCCTGAGAGAATTAAAGTCTTACCAAGTCACAGGGACAGTTCTACTCTGTCCTACAGGGTTGCTTTGAGTCCCTATCCATTGGATGGCAGGGACTTTAGTTTTTGTTTGCTTATTTAACATGACAATCACATCCTGACCTGTAGCATTTGTTAATTTCAACAATGTAAATATTATTTTTCAGCCTCAGAAGTAGGAAAGAAATTCACAGTAGCACACCATTTCAAAAAGCATTTTCACCATGCACATATGATAGACTAATGGTTCTCCACTGGGGTAAATTTGTCCCCCAGGGAATACTTGACAATGTTTAGAAACATTTTTGTTGGCCACAACTATGCTAATGGCACCAGGTAAACAGAGGCTAGAAATTTTGCTAAACATCTTATAACACATGAAATAGACCCTACAAAATACAGGGAAAAATTATATTTATTTATATATATCCCCAAATGCCAATAGTTGAAAAAGCCTACAATAAAAAGATAACCTGGGGTGGGGGGGGCGGGAGCGGGGAGGGAGGAGAAAAATGAGGACCTAATGTCGGGGGTTTAAATGGAGAGAAAATGTTTTGAGAAACAATGTACAAATGCGCTTTACACAATTGATGTGTGTATGGATTGGGATAACAGTTGTATGAGCCCCTAATAAAATGTTAAAAAAGAGAAAAAAAAAAAAAAGATAACCTCAAGAAAATATATAATAGTACAATATAAATAATAGTAACAAAAATGAATAGATAAAAGTTTTGAACATTTATTACCTTTATTTTACTTCCTGTCAGTTTAATAATTTACCATCATTTTAATAATGATTATGATTAAAAATCTGATTATTAAAAATTTAACAAAAAACAACAACAAACAAACAAAAAAACAAAACAAAAAACAAACAAAAAAATTTAACCATTGATGCTGTCAGATTAATACAAGACAACTCCAGTACACCACCCAAACTGCACCGGTCAATTTTCAGCATAATTGTCATCTGGTTTCTACTTGCCTCTCTGACCTTTTCTCCCCTCTCTTTTCTCTAACTAAGCTCCGTCACACCGTTTCTCTCTTTCATTTACTTGTGCAAACCCAGCTCATCCTTGTCTCTGGACATTTATCTTCTTCCCTGGAGCCCTACTCTACCCAATTTCTCTTTAATTGTCTTCTTTGCATTATGGGAAATAAGGGGGGGGATGTCTTTCTATCAAGGAGGCCTTCTTTGACTATTGGTGCTAAAATACCCCGACTGTTCTCTGCTCTGACTGTCACCATTCCTGTGTTTGTTTGGGTTTGTTACCTCCATAGTTTAACAAGGAACGTCTAGACTCACATTTTTACTTATTCTTGGTTTTCTTTCTTTCTTTGTTTATTTTTTGCTTTTCTAGAAAGAGAAGAAAAAGGCTAGATTGAAATTAGCATGGGAATGTCAGCAGTGGCTATATACTTTTCTCTTCCCATGTGTTCCTTTGATTTTCCTTTAAATTTAGCTATTAGCTGATGATTTCCAGCAATATCAGTGGCTACAGGGAAGAAAAGACGTGGCATTTTGCTTCTATTAAGATTTCTCTCCAGGGAACCCTGCTATATGGCAGTTCTCTGTCCTGTAGGGACACTCTGAGTTGGGATCAACTTGATGGCACACAGTACAACATACAAAATCACCACAGCACCCACATGTAAATACATAAACTCACCCCTCTCCTCATCTTCCCAATTAAAAAAAACCTCCTGCCATAACAATGCCTAAAATTTAACGGTTTACAGTATAAGATTGAGTTACTCTGATGCTAATTAAACAACTCATATTAGACTGCTTCAGAGAGAGGAGCTAGTTACCAATCATTCTATATCCAAATGGTCACAAATGATATGATCATGGGATTTATAATAATGGGGCTTCATTGTTGGATCATACTTTTTTTGATTTATATTAATATGTACGTTGGTATGAGCAATGACAAAATCATTTTGATTCTCCTGAAGTTCATATTGCTGGATTATGAAGTTAGAGTGACCCAGGCAGGCCAGCTGCCCTTCGGAGTCCTATTAAACCGTTAGCCTTTAAGGAGGTGTTTTCCTAGGAGTCACATTCAAGTTAAGCAGTGGAGCTGAGGTCGTTCTGCCTTAGGGGTTGGGCTCTTTTGGGGGAAGACCTGAGTGCAGCCAATGAGTGCAGCCAGCTTGGACGAGCTCTGGGGCCTGACTAGAGGCTATTTTAGGGTGCATGCATGTCCTTGTTGACTCTCTGTGGTCTGTCCTCTCCCTTGATCCCATCTTTTCGGTATAAACCTAAGAATGACCTATACATCTTTTCCTGCACTGTCCCCTCTCAGAGCTCTTTCCCTACATGTGACATGTTCAGGTGAAACTCTTCAAATCAAATTCTATCTATTCATGATACATTTATTTTGTTAATACTCATTCTTGCTGTTTCTCTAAGCAACTTAAATTTTTCCACTATGTAATTATTCCTGGTGGATCACAGCAATAAATGAAATGGGCTTTCTTTTTTCTTGTCCCTCTTCTGAGTGATAATTGTAAAATGCAAGTCAAATCATAGTCCTCTTCTGGCCAACCCTCCAGTAGCTTCCCAGTACACTAAAAGCAAAATACTCACTTTTCCAGTGGAGGCATTAGATACTCTCCCATCTGCCCCTGACCCCAGTTTTTAACAACCACGCCTTTCCCCTCTAGTTAGCTGCAGTCAGAATGGCCTTTTTATTCAACATTTTTATCTCAGCATCTGCTCACTGACTGATCTGTCTGCCAACATACTCATTCATGGGTTATAGGAAAGGCTCATTCTTCTTCATTGATGTTTCTGCTCAAATAATACTGAGGCATGCATGCAGAATTTTTTTAGTCTAATCTTGTCACTTATTATTTTATCCAATAAATTTTTATTTAAACACTTTTAAAATTTTATCTGATATTAGTGAAATATTGAGGAGCCCATTGTCATAGTGGGTTAGGTGTTGGGCTAACCACAAGGTGAGCAGTTCAAAACCTCTAACTGCTTCCAAGGAGAAAAAAGAGGCCTTCCACTCCTGTAAAGAGTTGCAATCTTGGAAATTCACAGGGGTAGTTTTACTCTGTCCTATAGGGTTGCTATGAGCTTGGTTTTGGAGTAAAAATATCTCTAGTCTCGAATTCCTACCCCACTAAGCCTAATCCAAACAGAAAACTAAATCAATTTAATTACTCAATATTAAAAGCCTTACAAGTGGCATCTGATATGCATGGGGTCCATCAGATATTGGAATATAGACTTTAACTTCAGGATACTATTCACATTACAGGAAACCAGCTGAATTTAAATAAAATTCAATGGCATTAATTATATTCACTATGTTATACAACCATCACCACTCTTTTCAAAATGTTTCCATCACACTAAACGGAAACGCAGAGCTCCTTGAACAATAACCTCCCATTCTCCCCTCCTCTCCATCTCTCCCTGCAGCTTCTCACTAATACTTATCTAAATCCATAAAGATATTACATATTATAAATATTTCATATAAGTGCGATCATACAATTTTTGTGGTTTGTGTCTGTGATGTTTTCAAGGCTCATCCATGTTGTACCATGTATCAAAACTTAATTTCCCTTTATGGCTGAAGAAGATTCCATTGAAAATCTACACCACATTTTATCATTCATCTATTGATGGACACTTGGTTGTGTTTAAACCTTTTCGCTATTGCGAATAACGCTACAGTGAACATTGGCGTACAAGTATCTGCTTTTATCTCTCATGGGTATATACCTACACATGCAATTGATGGGTCATTTGAGGGGAAGTCAAAAGTATTGATACAAAATCGTAGCTACCTTTCAATGTCAAAATGAGAAGATATTGTATCTCCACATATCCCCCATCTAGTTCAATACATTTCCCCAAGGCAATGTTTCCATAGCTCTAACTCTTCCACAGGGAGCCCTGGTGCATAGAGGTTACACCATTGGGCTGCTATCCTCAGGGTCAGCAGTTTGAAACCACTAGCTGCTCCAAGGGAGAAACATGCAGCTTTCTACTCCTATAAAGTGTTACAGTTCTACCCTGCCCTGGAGGGTCACTCTGAGCAGGAATAACCCTAATGGCAGGGAAGTGAATTATTCCCTAGCAAACCCTATGTGATTTGATTTACACCACACCAAAACAACAGTGTGGCATCCTCAAGGGACTCAAATTGCGGTCCTTTTCTATGTTCTTTAAGTCTAAGGAACATTCTATAGGTTTTTTTATAATGCTTTTTGATAATGAATGGCCTTTTATATAAAACATCCTTCATGTTGATGAAATCCATCTATTTTGTCTGACATTGTTGGTGATCTTGGTGTCATATCTAAGGCTAGTCAACCAAATTCAAGATCCTGAAACTTTACCTCGAGGTTTTCTTCTACATTAATTATGACATCTTTATACTTCAGAAAAATGTAACTCTAAAGAGAATGAAAAAGATCTGTGTGAACATGAAAAAGGTCTCCAACACATACTGTTAAAGTAAACATACAAAAATATGTATAGTGATGATATTAAATAAACCAACATCCTCTGTGTATGTGTGTAAAATATATGTGTATGTGCTTGTGTGTGTTGTGTGTGTACATAGAACTTTCATATGTGTAAATGTGTAGAAATCTGGAGGATTTACACATCTATTGATGTTTGAAGAGGGTACTGGGCTAGAAAAAATGGGGAGTGGAAGATTTCTCTGCTTATTCTATGTAGTTCTATTTTTGTTGAAATTTTTACTATAGAATGTGTTCCTGTATTATTTATGTAAACATTTTAAGTAAAAAATCTAGAGATTGACGTGAATAATTTTATTTTTAACTAGTATATATATGTTAATAAGGAACAATATTTCTCAATACAGTTTAAATATTGCCATGATTCTGTGGTTATTTATAAATAACCAAAATAACCATAATCCACTTGTTAACTGGCAAAAAAGAACATGAGGGTAATTAATTGAGGTATCCACCATGTTTAAAAATTCAAGATCATTACAAAAGTTCTATTTCTTTTTTTTTTTTTTTTTAACATTTTATTAGGGGCTCATACAACTGTTATCCCAATCCATACACACATCAATTGTGTAAAGCGCATTTGTACATCGTTTCTCAAAACATTTTCTCTCCATTTAAACCCCCGACATTAGGTCCTCATTTTTCCCCTCCCTCCCCGCTCCCCCCTCCCACATGAGCCCTTGATAATTTATAAATGGGTATTTTGTCATATCTTGCCTAGTCCGACCAAAAGTTCTATTTCTTCTCACATTTTAAAATTGAAGCTTTGATAAGATTGATTTTTTTGAAGTTATAATAAATGTCAGATAGAAAATCCATATGTTGCATTGTCTCTCTTAATATATAAAATGACAGTGTCCTAATATATTAAAATCAATTATCATACTGTTTACAAGGAAAATATTTTATTTTTAATGTTTTCTTTTTCTTTTCTGAAATGCCTTTTTGAAATGGGCAGATAAAAACAAAACAAAACAAAAAAAGAAATGGGCAGATAAACCACACTTTGTTAGTTTTCCACTTGTTCGCAGAAAAGAGCTTATCTCAAAATATTATCCTTTGTTCAAAATTTAAAAAAATTTAAGCTCATAATATTTCTTACCCTCATTTGTGCTAATAATTACCTATAAATAAAAAATAATTTGTGCTTAAAATGCTCAATCATACCATTTTTTCATTAAAACAATGTGCATAAGTAATTTTTATTGTCAAAACTAGTTTGCATTAATAATAAAACCAAAACCCAAGATATGGTTTATTGAGTGGTTACTATGGGCTACTCATTGTACTAAATATTATACAAATGAAGAATATAAAGTTTGAATAAGTTAAGTATCTTATGCAAGATCACACAGCTAAGTGTGAGAGAGAATTTTAGGTATGAACCTAATTGGTATCAACTCTGCCTATACTTAATTTACACCCCCCAAGGACTTATTTAAGCTGCCTACTTCTTCTGTCATTCAAGCTATCAAAAATTAAAATTAAAAAACCTGCCTGCCATTGAGTTGATGTTGACTCACAACCACCCAAAAAGATAGGGCAGAATGGGCCCTGTGGGTCCCGGGACAGAAAGCAACCTTTCTGAGGAGCGGATTATGGGCTGCAACTGCGATGCCACCAGGGCTTCTATATAAATAAAGGCAATGACGTTATTTGCATTGAGCATATCCTCCCCTGTTGTTAAAAATGTCAAACTTAAAAACCCAACCATGTGTACATTTAGGAAGAAAACACTTTTAACTCTAAGCTTTTAAATAGTTTTAAATAATAGAAGGAAAATAAAGTCCTGAACACATCTAAATGGGTTTTCATTTTTCCTATAAATAACATACTCTATAGACAGCTTTTCTGTTTGATCCTGGTCTTCCTAAACATGATGCCATCATGGGAAGTGACCCAGATTAAGGGTAAAAGTTGTAAAGCGTATGAATGTAATTGATATCAGTGAGCTGTACATTTGAGAAATGAAATGACAAACATTGTACAATACATTTTTTTTTTAAGGTTTACTTGAGGGCCTAGAATTGGGTTGGTGAAAGTCGGGGAATTTGAAACAGACAGGCTTGGTTTCACTCAGTATTTGCTTAAAGAGTTCTTGTCTCCAAAACCCAGGGGGTTGTTCTACGTTGTCTGATGTGTCAGTATGGGTTGGAATCGCCTTGATGGCAGTGAGTTTGCGTTTACAGAGTTAAGGAGGCGTGATCTTTACAGGAGCCCTGGTGGGATGATGGCTAAATGCTTGGCTGCCAAGTGAAATGTGGGTGATTCAAAACCACGCTTTTAACTCCTATAAGGATCATAGCTCTATAGGGACTTGGAGTAAACTCGATGGCACACAGCAAACACAATGTTTATGTAAACAGATTGTCATTTTTTCTCTCTCCTGGAATCCCTGGTTAGTTGATTAATAAAGGGTGACTTTTATTATTTTTATTATTTTGAAACCAAATACAATTTTCATTATTTCATTTATACAGACATTGATCTTTTCATAATGAAACATGTAAAATAATTTTAATTTTATTAAAATGACCTTTTGTTTAGTTTTCCTTTAGGATTTTCCAATGCGTTTGCAACAGGAATTAAACTTTTCAGAGAAACAAGATTTGGCTGCCAGAATCATTCAGCATGCCTGGAAAAGTTTCCTTGTGAGTTCACCGAATTTTAAAGCATCTTTAAAGCATTTACTGAGAGATAATGTACATACCATGCATTTTACTGGTTTAAAATGTACAATACAATAGTTTTAAGCATATTTACCGAGTTGCATAACAACTTTTCACTTTAAAAGTAGACATTTAAAAAATTTCCAAAAAAGTTAACATCAATTAAGTATTTTATTAGCTTCACAAATATTTATCACGTTCCTGATTGGGCCCTGTTCCTTTGATAAAGGCTAGTAGTAATGAAAACATCGTTAACTTACATATCTGGCTTTTACCTCTAAAGACCATATTTCTTGACTCAGAAATCAAGTTTATGAGCCGGTCCTAGAGTTATCCATTCTGCTGAATATTTATTGATTATGTAGTCCAAGTGAGATTCTAAAACCTCTGAATCTATGCCATAAGAAGCCTTGCTTCTTCCACTCTTTTTCTTGAAATGCTTGACCTAGGTGACGCCAGCAAGAAGCAGAACTACAATGAAGTGGCCATACTATGAGGAATTCCAAGTTAACCGCATAGAGAAGCTGCCTACAGAGATTGATAATTGGTCAATTATCAATGTATCATCTATCTCAACCCACTTACCACTTCTGAAAATGACAATGCCATCGTTACATGGAAAAACAACCAAGAAACCGGGCTGATCCGTAACACATAGTGCTCCCTGAGCTAGTCCAGCCATTCCCAGGGGGTCAAGTCACCCCCCTAAAGTCTCAGACTTCCTCATTATGCCCGCCCAGAATTCGAAACCCATAATATTATGAGCATGATTAAATGATGGCTGTTTTGCCCTACTGACAGATAACCACCAGTATTGTTACGTCTTCTTTTAAGGCGGGCCAACCTAGAATTTACAACAGACTTTTCAGCTTGTTGGGGCCACCATCCAGTCGGCTCCAACTCCTAGTGGCCCCGTGTAAGACAGAACACAACACTGCTCAAACTGGCACCAGCCTTACAATTGTTCTAAGGTTTGAGCCAAGGTGTTGATCCATTCTGTGGAGAACCTTCCTCTTTTTCGCTGCTTTACCAAGCCTGATGTCCTTTTCCAGGGACTGGTCTCTCCTGACATGTCCAAACTACCTGGGATAAAATCTCACCATCCTTGCTTCTAAGGAGCACTCTGGATATACTTCTTCCAAGAAAGATTTGTCTGTTCTTTCGGCAGTCCGTGATACTTCAGTATTCTTCGCCAGCACCACAATTCAAATGCCCCAATTCTTATTCGGTCTTCCTCAGTCAATGTCCAGTTTGCACATGCATATGAGGGGATTGAAAATACTGTGGTTTGGGTCAGGCGCACCTTAGTCCTTAAAGTAACATCCTTGTTTTTCAGCACTCCAGAGAGGGCTTGTGCAGAGGATTTACCCAATGCAGTGTGTCATTTGATTTTTGACTACTACTTCCATGAGCATTGATTGTGGATCCAAGCAAGACGAAATTCTTGACACTGTCAATCTATTTCCATACATCATGATGTTCCCGATTGTCCAGTTGTGAGGATTTTGGTCTTCTTCACATCGAGTGGTAATCGTACTGAAGGCTGCAGTCCTTGATCTTCATCAGCAATCCCTTCACGTCCTCCTCACTTTCAGTAAGCAAGGGTGTGTCATCTGCACATCGAAAGTTGTTGATAAGCCATCTTTCAATCCTGATGCTTAATTCTTCTTCTTGTAATCCATATATTCTCTGATTATTTGCTCAGCATACCGGTAGAACAAGTGTGGCGAGAGGATACAGTCTTGACACACATGGTTCTTGATTTTAAACCATACAGTATTCTCTTATTTGGTTTGCACAACTGCCTCTTGGTCGGTGTATAGTTTCCACGTGAGCACAATGAAGTGTTCTGGAACACTTCTCAAGCCTATCCACAGCTAATATCCTTGACTAATTAGCAACTACCTTAAATTAGTGCTTTAATCCTTTCCGAATCAATGTAAGAATCTCATAATGGGTTGACCACATTTATCCCCTTTCTGCTTGTGTTTTCATTGTCAGATGTGTGTTTTGCTTATACTTTTGTTTTAAATTTCAAAAGACATTATTGTCTTTGTTTTAAACAATATTCATTTAATTTATCAAGCTTTATTTATCTTTCCAGAGCCTCTTTCCTTCTGGAAGTTCTCTGCTGCTCTGTGGTGTTCCTTGAGAAATCCCTACAGTACCATATTTTAAAGCAAATACCACATGCCTATTATGTCTCTTCTGCAAACCACACAATGCCTTCACACATTAATTCCCTATTCCCTATATGCATTGTACGTATATGTGGATTATTTATGTGGGAGCATTATATGTGAAAAACGTAGTACCATATATACTTGAGTATAAGCTGACCCAAATATTCCGAGGCACCTACGTTTACCAAAAAAACCGCATTAAAAATGTACTGAAAAACGAGGCTTATACACGAGTATATATGGTATTTCTTTTAGGGCAGGTTTCTTTTGAAAAAATGTTCTGTCAGCTTTCATTTGTCTGAAAACATTTCTTATTTTTTTTAATGTTAAAAAATATTAGCATACATAAAAAATCTCTATTAGCATTCTACTTAAAGATGTCGTTCCATTATATTCTGACTTCTGTAGTCCCTACTGAAAGGTCAAGCATAAATTTAATTCTTTCTACTAATAAACAAAAATTGATTGTTTTATAACTCTAGGAAGGACTTAAAAAGAAGCCCTGGGAGTACAGTGGTTCCACACTGGATTGCTAACACAAGGTCAGCAGTCCGAAACTCTCAACTGCGTCTCAGGATGAAGATGAGGCTTTCTGTCCCATGCAGAGTTACAGTCTTAGAAACCCACAGGGGTAGCTCTATTTTGTCCTATCGGGTCACTATGAGTTCAGAATTGACTGCAGTAGCAGCGAGTTTGGTTGGCAAGCTTAAAAATTCAAGATGGTCTCATTGGGTTAATATCAAGGTTTCAATCAGAATGTGCTCTTTCTGGGGGCATGTATTCATTTCCTAGGGTTACCATAACACAGTATCAGAGGTAGTTTATGAGAACAAAAATTTAATGTTTCACAAAAAATTACTGCTTCACCGTTCTGAAGGTTGGTAGTCTGAGTTAGAGTGCTGGCAGGGACATATTCTCTCCAAAGGTTCTCGGGGGAGATTCTTTCTGAGGATTTCCGTGGTTTGCAAGATAATTCTGTTGTCTTATAGCTCTTCTTTCTCTTTGTGTCTGTTTCTCCTCTTTTACAGCAAACCCTAAATGGAAGATTAGAAATCTCCTTACTCTAGTATGACTTCATGTTACCTTCATTGATAATATCTTCAGAGTATTTTAAAACAAGGTTATGTCCACAAGTCATAGTGATCATGACTTCGGCATAAAGTTTTGGGGAACATAATTTAATCCATAACAAGGCTCTAGGGTTTATTCAATTTTCCCCTAGAGAGGCTACCAACATGCTCATGGACTCTGCTACTTCCAAAGTCAACGATGGCCTACCAAGACTTTTTCATATCACATGATTCTGAAATTCATTCCCATGCCTTGCTCCTTTCACTGATATTGGTCCTGTGATTACTCTGGGATTACTGAAATAATCCAGGATAATCCTCCTATGTCAAGGCTGGTTACAGTTTTAGGTGCCTTTGAATCAGTTCCAGCTCTCAGTGACCCTATCTATCTATATACAGCAGAATGAAGCACTGCTCTGTCTTTTGCCATCCTTGTATCCATTATTGCAGCCATTGTGTCCATCTGCCCCATTGAAGATCTTCCTCTTTTTTTGACGATTTTACCAGGAATTATAACCAAGATGAAGACTCACCACCCTTGCTTCTAAGGAGCAGAACATTCTGCCTGTCCCTCCAAGACAGAGTTGTCTGCTCTCCTGGCAGTCTGTGGCAAAGTCAACAACCTTTGCCAACATTGTAAATATATTCCAAGGTATGAATTCTTAGGTCTTCCTTGTTCACTGTTCAACTTTTGCATGTTTCTGAGGCGATTGAAAACACCTTGACTTTGATCAGGCACGCTTTAGTCTTCAAAATGAAACCTTTGCTCTCCCACACTTTAAAGAAGTCCTTTGCAGCAGATTTACCCAGTGCAATACTGCCAGAAGAAGTCAGCTCCTACCACAATCACTACGGGTTCAGTAGGCGCAATTGTACAGC